GTCCTCTAAGCTCCGGGCGCCCCAGTTCTTCCAGGTGCCCTACACGGCGCTCACCATGCTGCTGACGCCCAGCCCCCGGGAGCGGGACTCGGCCACCGCCTACCGTGAGTGCGCGCCCACCGCGGGGTGGAGGGTGGCGCCGGCCCCAGGCTGCGAGCTCGGTCCCCTGAGCGCTCCTCGCTGTGTCCCAGGGATGACCATGGAGATGGCGGGGACGCTGCTGGGAGCCGCGGCCCACGGGCTCATCGTGTCCGGGGCCCACGGTCCCCACAGCTGCGAGGACGCCGAGTTCCCGGGGCCGGGCACCGTCTCCCCCCACGCGGTGAGTGCTCCCCCCACCCGTGCGTCCTCCCACCAGACCCTCTGCGGGGGGGTTTCTCCCTGTGAACATGCTCGGCGCATCTGGAGGGGAGGAGGCAGGCCCCAGGCAGGGGCAGGGAGAGGGCAGGGGGCGTGGGGTCCCTGCGGAGCTCTGGGCAGAGCCCTCCTGGGGGGCCTCCCACCCCCAGGGTGAAAGGAGAAGGGAATCCTCCCAGGGGGTGAGGTATGGGGGGGGGGGGAGGGACTGTGTCTCCTCAGCCATCAAGTTCGTCCATTGGCCCCATTAAGGGAATGACATCCCGACCCCCCAGGACCGTAGGAATCATCCTCTAGTCCTCCCTCTCCCTCAGTCCAGCCCATTGCCAAATCCTGCCATGTTTCAGGACAAAACTCTTCTGCATCCACGGCCACAGTCTGGCGCTGCCTCACAGCCCCTGCCCTTCACCTGGGGGTGAAGGAGGGTGGGTAGAGAGGGCCGAGAACCCACCCTCAAAGGCACATTCAGGCACCGCTTGGCAGCTCCAGCTCTGTTATCCCGACTCCACGTACAAAACAAATTAATTCATAGATAAAAGCATCTAGAAGTTCCAGACAGCGACCAGAGAGCAGGTCCCCAAGTGCAGGTCCTCTGAGTGTGGGGCCCTGTGCAGCTGTGCTGGACCCGCACCCGGAAGCCGCCCCCCCCAGGCAGCCTCTGTCTCTTTTCTGGGTCAGCCCCCACCAGACTGTGACTTGTGCTCATGGATCTGTCTTCCTCCCACACTCCAAGCCCCTCACTGTGGATGCTCAGGGGTCACTTATCAGGGTCTGGCAAACAGAATCAGCAACAATGAATGCTTGTTTTAAAAACGAGAGGGAGAGAGAGAGGGAGGGAGAGAGAGAGAGAGGTATGAGAGAGAGAGGTGTGTGTGAGAGAGAGAGGTGTGTGAGAGAGAGAGAGAGAGGGGAGAGAGAGAGAGAGAGAAAGAGAACTCAGATCCTCAGACCCTGGTGCATGGCTGCATGCAGGAGGCACAGGGTCAGCAGAAGGTCCATCCTGGAGGAGTACCCAGTATTCTTTGGACTTGGGCTGAGGGTCCCTCTGCTCCCATTGGGGGAGGTGCCCTGCCCCTGGGTGTCCTCCCCTCCATTGGGTGGGAGACATCCCCCCACCCCCAGTTCTGTC